GGGTGCAGGCCGGCAGAGGAGGGAAGTTGGGGGCAAACAGGCTGGCAGGGGAGTAGTTAGGGGGTGATCAGGCTGGCAGGCAGAAGTGGTTTGGGACACTCAGGAAGGCAGGCAGACGAGCAGTTGGGAGCCAGCAGTCCTGGATTGTGAGAGGGATATCCGACTGCCCATTCAGGCCTGATACCAGTAGGATTGGGTCTAAGCAGGCAGTGGGACATCCCTTGAGGGGTCCCAGATTAGAAAGGGTGCAGGCTGGGCTGAGGGACAACCCCTGCCTCCGTGCATGAATTTCAGGCACGGGGACTCTATAGTCTTTTCAGAAAAGCCAAAGTGACCATCTAACCAGTACCTATGATGTGCACTGACCACCAGGGGGCAGAGCTCAATGCACAGGCATGGAAACATAGAGCAGACTGATGAATCTCAGAGGGAAGAGAGAAGGGGGGAGAGCGGGAAGAGATTAACCAGAGATCTTATATGCATACTAGAGGCCTGGTGCATAGATTCTGCAGCAGTGGGGTCCCTCGGCCTGGCCTGCAGGGGCTTGGGTCAAAACCAGCCAGGTGCATAGATGGGTGGGATTCCTTGGCCTGGCCTGCAGGGATGGGGCTGAATCCATGCACTGGGCCTCCAACATCCCCCGAGGGGTCCCAGATTGCGAGAGGGCGTGCAGGCCAGGCAGAGGCGCACCGGCCTCTGTTTAAGTCATAAAAACCCGTGTGCAAATGTTTACAGCAGTTGTATTCATAACAGCCCACGTCACTCAGTGGGTAAGCAGAAAATCCAGCATGGGGCATCCACATGGTCCACGCTGCCCACGAGGGGGCTCTGACACACATCACGGCGAGTCTCCGTGCACGCCGCCAAAGGCCAGGCATGTGGACATTTTGGTAAAGTCAGACACAGGGCAGAAAGCAGTGCTGCGGGCCTGGGTGGAGGACAGGACTGGATGACACAGGACCAGGGGGTGGCTCTGTGACTAGACGCCCATGTAGGACACACCCACACCAGCAAGCTGTGCAGCGTGTAAAGGTTCATGTTGTCGTTAATCCTCACCTGAGGACATTTTTTCACTGGTTTTTAGAGAGTGGGGGAGGGAAAGACAGAGAAAACATGGATGTGAAAGAAATACATCGATGGATTGCCTCCTGCATGAGCCCTGACCAGGAACCAGGCTGGAGAGAAGCCTGCAACACAGGTACATGCCCTTGACTGGAATTGAACCGAGGACCCTTTGGTCTGTAAGCTGATGCTCTATCCATTGAGCAAAACCAGCCAGGGCTGCATGCAAATTTAAAAATGCACAGGTTCTCGGGCCAAACAGTCCAGGGTTAGGCCTGGAAGCTGTCATTTCAACCGAGCGCCCGCTGTGGGGGGCCCGCCCTGTCCCCGCAGGGACTGATGAGCTCCCAGAGGCTTCCATCAGTGCCGGCTCCTGGGAGAACTCAGCAAGCCTGCTGATGGCACCTCCGGGAGCCCCCCACCCTCTGCACTGGCTGCCGCCTCCTGGGGCTGGAGGGAAGCCGGTCAAGGCCAGAGAGGCGCAGGGTATGAAGGAGCCAGGAAGGGCAGTGAAGAGTTGGACTGGGGACTAATCCCATTTCTTCCCAAGTGACATCCAGAAGTGGTGGGGAGCAGAGAGGTGGGCCAGCATGGCTGATGAGGCGCTTGCCAAGCCCCTCTGGGCATCACCCCTGGGGTCTGGCCTGTCCCAACTGAGAGCTGGGCATGGGTGAGAGGCCGCAGCAGGACGGGCCTGCAGGAGGGCAGAGCCATGCCCGTCAGCAGCCGTGCCTGGCGCCCCCCCCCACCCCCCCCCCCGGCCAGGTGCTGTGCCGCGCTGCTGTAAAGGGGGTTGAGATCCGGAGTGTAGTGACCTGCGGGGGCCAGCAGGTGGGTTCTGTCTGTGGACCCAGGGCCGTGGCCTGTCACTATGGGGGGGCAGGAGGAGACACGGTCCAGCTTGACCTCCCCCCAGCAGGCCCCTCGCCTCTGGGGAAAGCACAGAACAAGGCAAGAGGCAGCCCACAGCCTGCCCATCGGGCTGAGGCCAGGCCAGGACACGCGTGTGGCCGTCCACGGGGCGTGGGGTGGGGTGGGGGTGGGGTGACCCTGCGCTGAACACGCCAGTCAGACGGCAGAGCTGACAGCCACAGGAGAGGGGGGTAGGGCGACAACAGTGCCCAGGAAGCAATGCTGCACCGCGGCAGCTGCAGAGTCCGGACACGGGGATGGCCTAATGCTGTTTCCTGACCGGCCGTCAATGTCCACAGAAGCGCCTTCCGATTCGCCCTAATTAAGGAGACATTGCAAATGGCTTCCTCTCGGCCCGGTCACTCGTCTTCATTCTGCGCTGCCCATGTCCGGCCCCCGCCCCTGAGCACAGCAGATGGAGACCGTCACCCGCAGCAGCATGTCCTGCCGTGCGGCCTGGGGACCAAGTTTGGTCCGGGGAGCAGGGCTCCTGTGTGAACAGGCAGAGCGGGCGCCCATGACGCCCTCACCCTAAAGCCCACTTCAGAGGGCGAGGCTTCCCTGGGATCAAGGGTCTCAGATGTGGGAGCGCAGACTGGCAGGACCCAGACGCCCCCCCACCCCCCCGGAGACGGGCATTGTCTGCGAGGAAGGAGGAAGGACTCCCCCTGGCACCGCCAAGCGGAGCGGGCGCCTCCTGGCCACACGGCTGGAGGCTGCCTTGGTCAGACACGAGGTCTGGCACCCTGGTCCTGCCCATGTCACACGCAGCCCTCCACGACCATGCCCGGCCCAGGCCGAAGCCTCGAGGAACAAGATGCTGCTCTGGCTCCAACATGCCACCTCCCCCGCCACGTGAGCGAAGCCCACAGCGACACCCAACAGCCTGCGCGAGGCCTGAAGCGCAGAGGGGCCGGCCCGTTCCCAGGCCTTTCAGCTGGGGAACCGGCCGTGGAAGGAGCGGTCGGCTCTCAGACCTTCTCTCTGCACACTGAGCCCACATGGGAGATGCGAGGTGCCCGTTTCTGCGGTGGACGGACGGTTGGGAGCCCACAGTGCCACGTCCCGGCTCCTGGGCCCAGCTGCCGGCCTGGCTGGCCCTGCAGGGAGGCACCTGGCGACTCTGGCCCAGGGCCCCTCATGGAGGGTGGGAGCTTGTGGAGGTCGAGCCAGGACGCGGCTGCGGGTCAGAGGACGGTAGCACACGCAGGACCCAGCTTCCGCCCGGAGCCTCTCCAGCCTCAAGGACACAGACCACAGACCTTAACGTTAAGGGCGTGCGGGAGGCAGCCAATCCGACTCCCTCATCACTGATCTCGCTCTCTTCCCCTGCCTTCCTCTCTGCAATCAATGGAAACTTATTTTAAAAAGAAAAGGGGGAGGGGACACGTCCTGCGTGGCTCTTGAGGCCCCTCCTGAGGACACGGCTGTCGATTGAGTAAGGTGGGGCTGGCCCAGGACTTGGATTTTAGCCTGACATTCCAGAACATCCTGCCCATAAACAACCCGGGGCCTGGATGGTCCCCCGGGCAGAGCCTGGTGTGTGCCACCCGTGTGAACTCACATGGACTCACCTGGGCCCATGGACTGCATCCCTAACGCCACTGCCGCTCCCACTCTCAGCTCTGGGTGCGCTGATGGCCACACGGCCACTCAGTGCTGCAGGAGACGGGCCCAAGACCTGGCCGCCCAGTTCATCCGATTTCAGCTTCAAGCACAGAACTGGTCCCCACAGGCCATCACCCCAAAGGAACCCACAACAAATGCAAAGGCACAGCGGCCTCCAGAGCCGCTGGGCAGCGCCGGGACAGGCAAGGGAGCGCGAGTAGCAAGCAGCTATTTTAAGGGACCTGTTTGGCTATTTCAAGTTTGGCTTCACACTGTTTACTTAGCTGCAGCAGAAGCTGGACTTTCTCGGGGCTCCCTTCTCTAAATGGTGGCTCAGACCACAATCAGACTGTCCCTGCATGACCGCGCCCCTCGGGGGGTGAGAAAGCTCGTACTGGAATCACCTGGGGCCCCAAGGCTGGAAGGGCCCCGAGGTCAGAGCTTGTCCACAGAAAGGCATGCAGAATGCTCTGCTGACAAACAGGCTGTGCTCCCATCACCATGCACAAGGCTCCAGCTCAGCTGCGACCGACCCGTGCAGAACAGGAAGCTGTGGCCTCGCTCTGGCCGCCTGTGGCTGCGGACTCAGTGCCCGTGCCTGTCAGTCCCGGCACCACACCTAACGGCCTGCGTCCCTGGGAAGCACACAGCTCCAGTGCTGATGCTGCAGCAACCTGATGTGTCCGTGCTCATAGTGCCAAGAGCCCTCAGAGTGCAACCTCCGGCTTCAACAAGCTGCCACGGTAAAAAGACACCAAGCTCAAGTACGAGACCCGTTAAGAGGTGATGTTCACGAAACCGCCTCACAGGGCACGAGCAGCCGCACACCAGGGCCCTGCAGTCCCTGCACCCTGACCCCACAGGCCGGGGCGTCTGGGCCCTCGGCCTCCTGGCCCTGCTCTGCCAGCCCTCCCCAGGTGCAATGCTGGCCACCAGCAGGTGGGCACTGGGAGCCGGCACTAACCCTCTCCTGGTCACTCAGGCAGGTGTGGGCCGAGGTGGGAGGAGATCTCAGGCCTGTCATGTCACCTGCGGGACAGGTCTGCACAGGTGGCTTGGGAGCAAGGAGAGGGGGAGCTGAGACCTGGTTAACATCAAGAGCAGAAAAACGAATCCAACTCCTCATTTACTTGCCAAAATACCTGCTACCACTTGAATTTAAATTTCTTCCTGCAAATGTCTATGCAGTTCCCAGGCTAAAGTCTCTGCGTGTAATTCACATGCTATCCAAGCTGAGAACATTTAGTGTTTTGTTTTAAGGCTAGTCAGTTGCTAAAACAATCAAGAACATTTAAAGTTTCAACCAATGGGGACGAGTTATTATCTAAAGGACAAACAAAGCCTATTTACAATCCCTTCAAAGTTAAAAAAATGCATCAGTGGGGAAGGAGTCAGTGGGACGAAGCCTGAGCTCACTGCCAGTGTGGGAGGAGAGGCCGGCAGAAAAAGGGTTAACCTGGCCTCTCGGAGGGAGGCCGTCCAGCAGAGGGAGGCTGCCAGCCCCGGAGCCCATGGGCGGCCCAGCCCGGAGCTGGCAGATATAAAGGCTGCTCCCAGCTGCAGCGGCGACGCTTCGGCTTCTGTGACGACAGGCACTCCGCTTCCACGCGTGCAGCCAGTGGCCGAGCACAGCCCCGAGGCCGGCCAGGAGCCCGGAGGACGGGGTCTGCTCAGAGGGGCACAGGCGGGGCGCCGGCTGTGGCACAGGTCAGTCAGTCTGGGTTCCTGGCTCTGCCTTCAGGTGGGTGGGCAGCCCACTGTAGGTGACAGCTGGGCACGGGTATGGGTAGACTGGGCACCAGCTGGGCCAGGGCACGAGGCCCCCAACTTCTAAGTAGAGCCACACTCCATGGGAGAAGCTCTCACGATGTCGCTGTGACTCGGAGAGGCTGGGTGTGCGGGCTGCCCTCCAACTCTGGTCCCGTGTCCCAATGAGGCCCGGCGCCCGCCGGCGAGCACAGCCCTGTCCTCCTTTAATGCGTGCGCCCCACAGAGCACTGGTGATGACATCCCTGTACAAGCGGGTCTGGTGGCCTGCTGCTCCAGGTTGGACAAGCAGTGGGAGCCCACCCAGCGGCTCACTTCGGCTAAGGCTCCCTTTGGTGGACGCGTGCGGCCAGCCTCGTGGGGCCGTGTCAGCGGCAGGTCAGCCCCGTCCCTGCTCCTCCTCACAGACACAGCCCCCGGCCGATGCAGGGGGGGCTGGTGCCGCTGCAACCACTCACCTCACACTTCCCCCGAAGAGCCGCCTAAACCTTCTCAGGATTCCCACATTTAAAGAGCAGAGCAAACGGCCTAGGCAGTTTTTACAAAGAAGTAAAAAAGGCTCTAAAAACATGACTAAAGTCGGATTTGTCGGTCCGCCACGCCAAGGGTCCTGAGCACAGTGCCTGGCAGGAGGGGCGTGGGGGCCGGAGGCTGGGACCTGCTCTCTCTGGTCTCACAGCATCTCAGGCAGGAGGTCTGGGGTGTCTAGACGTCAGAAACGGCTCCTGATGGCCTCCTGGTAAATGAAAACTCAAATAAAAAACGATCCAATCCCCCTCAGGGGGACCAGGCGGTTCCTCTGGGCTTTTCTGCCCCCGGGCGGGCGTGTCCCTCCCTGGGTGGGGCCGTCCTGTGTGCTGTGGGGCCTACCCACTGCCAGGGGCACTCCTCTGCACTGTGACCTAATACCGCAGCTGCCGACCCCCAGAGAACTTGGGGGGACAGTGAGGTGCAGCACAGACCCGAAGCCCCAGTTTCCAGAGCCGGCCGACCGGGCGGCTGCCTTGTCCCTCCCCCGGTCACCGAGTTGCTAGGTTACAAACAGCATTACAGAACATATTAGGTGTGACAGTAATTGTCAACACTGAATAAAACTTCAATAGCATTCCCTAAAACAATTACCATTTTTATTCCTTATTTTGTCTTTCATGCCACGTTATTAAAAAAAAGCTTCGGCATCTAAACTTAGTACGAGGCTTAGCAAAGCAGCGAGATTTCTTGGATCACTTTCCTGTTAGAGAAGAGGTTCTACCCCGTCTCCCCACGGCGCCCAGGACCACTGGCTCTCAGAAAAGCTGGGTTTTTCCCTTCCCGCTTACTCCTCTTTCCACCAGCTGCCAAAATAAATCTTCTCTCCTCTCCTGACAGACAGTAGTTTTCCTAAGACTTCCAAACCCGTCTCCACATTACCTCACGAGCCAGCCATTCGCCATCACAGAGGCTCAGGGGCGAGGCTGACTCACGGCCGTCCGCAGCAGGGAGCCCCCGGGGAGGCGCCTGCTCCTCTGCCTCAGCTCAGTGCCTACGTCTCTGTCCTCCCAGAAGACACACCTGAGGAGCCTTCCCGCCCACAGGGCACCTGGCCGCAGAATGAAGGGTGCAGGGTGCACGGCGCCCCTCTGCTCCCAGGTGCCCGCAGGAGCGGGTCGTGCAGAGCCCGCGCAGCCCTCCTCCTGCAGAGCAGACCCCCGCCGCCCGGCTCCTGCTGATGAGTGACCGTCGCCCGGCTCACTTCTGAGGACAGACCTTTCTCTCTGAGATGGATTTGCTGTTTAACACGGGTTTTCCAGAGCCTGGCGGCACAGCCTGAAGCCGCACACGGTGGAGGTGTGAGCATGACTTCCCGAGCGCCTGTCTCTGGCATGGAGACCGACCCCGGAGCCTTCGACGGCACCCCCGTGGCGCTCAACCTGTCCCGCGCGCTGGCCGGCAGGGCGCTGGCCAACCAGACGGGGGGGTTGGCGGCGCCCCCGCCCCCGCAGTACGCCGTGGGGCTCTTCCTCTCCTGCCTCTACACCGTCTTCCTCTTCCCCGTCGGCTTCGTGGGGAACATCCTGATCCTGGTGGTGAACCTCAGCGCCCGGGACCGGATGAGCATCCCCGACCTGTACTTCATCAACCTGGCGGCGGCCGACCTCATCCTGGTGGCCGACTCGCTCATCGAGGTGTTCAACCTGGACGAGCAGTACTACGACATCGCCGTGCTCTGCACCTTCATGTCGCTCTTCCTGCAGATCAACATGTACAGCAGCGTCTTCTTCCTCACCTGGATGAGCTTCGACCGCTACCTGGCGCTGGCCCAGGCCATGCGCTGCGGCCTGTTCCGCACCAAGCACCACGCCCGGCTCAGCTGCGGCCTCATCTGGATGGCCTCCGTGTCCGCCACGCTGGTGCCCTTCACCGCCGCGCACCTGCAGCACTCCGGGGACGCCTGCTTCTGCTTTGCCGACGCCAAGGAGATCCAGTGGCTGGAGGTCACCTTGGGCTTCATCATCCCCTTTGCCGTCATTGGCCTCTGCTACTCGCTCATCGCCCGGGTGCTCATCAAGGCCCACCGGCGCCGGGGCCTGCGCCCGCGCCGGCAGAAGGCGCTCCGGATGATCGTGGCCGTGGTCCTGGTCTTCTTCGTCTGCTGGCTGCCCGAGAACGTGTTCATCAGCGTGCACCTCCTGCAGCAGGCGCAGCCCGGCGCCGAGCCCTGCCAGCAGTCTTTCCGCCACGCCTACCCGCTCACCGGCCACATCGTCAACCTCGCAGCTTTCTCCAACAGCTGCCTGAACCCCCTCATCTACAGCTTCCTGGGGGAGACCTTCCGAGACAAACTGCGGCTGTACCTGGAGCAGAGAGCGAGCGTGTCGGCCCTGAATCGCTTCTGCCACGCGGCCCTGAAGGCCGTCCTCCCGGACGCCGAGCAGCCGGAGGTGCGGTTCAGCAGCGTGGCGTGACGGTGGCTGCTCCCGCAGACTCAGCACCACCCGGACGGGGTCAGGGCCTGTCGGGCCTCTCCAGCTGAGTGCTGCCCCCCTCGGGCTCTCAGGCTCCCGCACCCGCCGCTGCTGCCTGTGCTGTAGAGCTGTGCCACCACGTGCTCCGATGGCAGTCTTGCATGGCCAACGGCAGGGGACTCACGGCCCTCTCTGTGCAGACTGTCTCGCGGCAGCATGGAGGGCCTGGTGGAGTGCCTCGTGTCAGTAGCTCGCCAGGAGTCTGCCCTCGGGGGAAACAGAGCCGAGGCTGCTCTGAGCTGGTAAGGCCCTGTGCCCCCACCCCGCCCCGGCCCCATGGCCGTACTCTGCGTGCGCACCCAGTGCCCTTGGTCCCCAGGCGAGTGAGTGACACCTCCGCTCTCTTCCATCCCACCTGGACGCAGCGTCTCTGAGGGCGGCTCTGGCACGGGCGCGACGCTCCAGCTCGCGGGGACAGTGAGAACAGTTCTGGAAAACGTAAAGAGGCGACACCGGTGGTGGCCAGCGCTGCTCGGCTGTGCTGTGCCTCCAGGTTCTCCAAGCAGCGCCCTCCGGGGGCAGGGGCTCAGAGACCCACAAAGCCCCCGGCCGATGCGGCTCCTCACCCACGTGAGCTCTGAGAGGCCAACATCTCAACGCAGCTCCTGGCACAGCGGCACCTCTGGGGGTCTGACCCCTGCTGCACCATCCTTGAGCAGAATGTTCCCCGCGCCTCACTCTTCTAGAAGGTTCTGGCTGCCAGCACAAGCACAACCCACAGCCCTGCAGGGACAGCTGCAGCTCCGGGTGGGTAGTCAGCGAGCCCGCAGGCGGGGTCCCCAGAAGTAGGCAGGCCTGTCCATCAGGGGGACGGGCCCAGGGACAGCAGTGGGGCCCCCACAGGCTGCACTGGACGCACCGAATCAGCACCAGCCTCCGGGCGGGCAGGGGAGTGTGTGCTCACACCTGCGGCTTAGCTGTCACACACCCAGAAAATGTCGCCTCTTCCACGAATCTGATTTCTGCTGCTGACCAGGGGTGCGGTCCCGCCTGGGAATACGAGCTTAAAGCCAAGGGGTCGTAGGCCACCAGACTGACTGACCCTAAGGGTCCTCCAGGGTGGCCTCCACCCAGAGCTCATCGCAGGACTCCAGCTGCGACTCGAGGTGACTGGAGCCCTGGGGTGCAGGGTCCTTGCACACAGAGCCTGTGCGCCCCCAAGCCCTGCACAACCATGAATGAGCTGGTCCTGAGCCATGTCTGCCCTGCGTCTCCTGGGAGGATGGCTGTCCGAGCCGTGGTTCCCAGGGCCCTGCACTGGCTCTGGAGGAAGCCAGCTGCGGGGACCCGTCTCGCTGAGCCGCCACCTGGACCCAGGTGAGTCGCCCCGTCCCCAGGAGACCTGGGTCCTCCAGGGAAGTCACCGCTTCAACCAGCAAGTCGGGGGCATCCTCCGGAGACCAAGTCCACACAGAACACGCCGTCCCTGGCCAACGACGTGGCATTTTTCTCCGCTGACTCAGAAACTCAAATGGCCAGGAACGGAGAAACCCCAGCAGGCCCTGTCTCCGAGGGCACGTCTCCTCGTGCAGCTCCTTCCGAGGAACGCAGTTAATGCGAAAGGTCCTCCTCGCCGCCCAGCGCCCGGCTGCCCGAGGGCAGACTCCTCAGGGCTCCCGTCCCTTTCTGAGTCCCCGGAGTCTCACAATTCCACCCCCACCCGACCCCAGGCGATGGCGGCTCGGACAACACATGTCCAATCCCCCTAAAAGGATGGACTCCCGCCCTGGCTGGTGTGGCTCAGTGGACAGAGCGTTGGCTCCGTGTTCAATTCTGGTCAAAGGCACATGCCCAGGTTCGTTCCCCAGTAGGGGGTGTGCAGGAGGCAGCCAATCAATGATTCTCTCTCATCATTGATGTTTCTATATCTCTCTCCTTCTCCCTTCCTCTCTGGATCAATAAACATATTAAGATAAATAAATAAAAGGATGGACTCCCACACCGACCTCTGGCAGGAAGCTCGAACAGGGCCAGTGCCTGCCGCCAAAGCCCGGTGCCCACAGGACCCCTCGTGGATGGAGAGAAACGGGAGCCAAGAGTTAATGCGGGGACCTGGAGGAGTCCGTCAGAGACAGGAAGTAGGAGGGTGGGAGCCAGGGCAGTCTCAGACGGGGAAGATGAGAAAGTTCTGGAGAGGGCAGTAGTAACGGATGCACAGCCAGAAGAATGTGCTCACTGCCACTGAATGCTATGTCTACAAACGGCTAGAAGGGCCCTGGCCGGTGTGGCTCAGTGAGTAGGGCGTCGGCCTGTGGACTGAGGGGTCCCAGGTTTGATTCCAGTCAAGGACACATGCCTGGGTTGAGAGCTCGGTCAGATGTGCAGGAGGCAGCCAGGTAATGATTCCTTCTCATCGTTGATGTTTCTCTCTCCCCTCCTCTCTGAAACCAGTGACAATACATTTAAAGATAAAAAATGGCTAAGAGAGTTCATTTATGCTGAGTGCATTTTATGACAATAAAAGGAAGAAGTGAGAGCCGAAACCGGATTGGCTCAGCAGTAGAGGTCGGTCTGTGGACTGAAAGGTCCCAGGTTAGATTCCGGTCAAGGGCATGTATAATACATCGGTTGTGGGCACATCCCCGGTGGGGGGTGTGCAAGAGGCAGCTGGTCGATGTTTCTCTCACATCGATGTTTCTAGCTCTCTATCCCTCTCCCTTCCTCTCTGTAAAAAAAAATCAATAAAATATATATTTTAAAAAAAAGGGAAAAAAAAAAAGGAAGGAGAATAGGACTTTGCCTAAGCCAGGGAGCAGTGGAGGCCCTACGGACACTCAGGGGAGCCCACCGCGGGCGCCCAGTGGACAGAGTCTGGGGGAGCCCACCACGGGTGCCCAGTGGACAGAGTCTGGGGGAGCCCACCACGGGTGCCCAGTGGACAGTCTGGGGGAGCCCACCGTGGGCGCCCAGTGGACAGAGTCTGGGGGGGGCCCACCACAGGTGCCCAGTGGACAGTCTGGGGGAGCCCATCACGGGTGCCCAGTGGACAGTCTGGGGGAGCCCACCACAAGGTGCTCAGTGGACAGAGTCTGGGGGAGCCCACCACGAGTGCCCAGTGGACAGAGTCTGGGGGAGCCCACCACGGGCGCCCAGTGGACAGTCTGGGGGAGCCCACCACGGGTGCCCAGTGGACAGAGTCTGGGGGAGCCCACCGCGGGTGCCCAGTGGACAGAGTCTGGGGGAGCCCACCACGGGTGCCCAGTGGACAGTCTGGGGGAGCCCACCACGGGTGCCCAGTGGACAGTCTGGGGGAGCCCACCACGGGTGCCCAGTGGACAGTCTGGGGGAGCCCACTGCGGGTGCCCAGTGGACAGTCTGGGGGAGCCCACCACGGGTGCCCAGTGGACAGTCTGGGGGAGCCCACCACGGGTGCCCAGTGGACAGAGTCTGGGGGAGCCCACCACGGGTGCCCAGTGGACAGTCTGGGGGAGCCCACCACAAGGTGCTCAGTGGACAGAGTCACGAGGGCCTCTGGGCTGGTGCAGGAGGAGCAGCTGCAGCTGAGCTGCTGGGCTGGTGAGGGCAGGAGGCTTGTGGGGTCCAACTCCACAACCAGACGCCCCTCGGACCCCAGGCTTTTATTTAGAGCAGCAACACGAGCCGAGACTGACCCACAAAACTGCTGGGTGCTGGTGACCCACAGGCGCTTGTTCCAGCAGCTCCTGCTGTGTCACATCCCCTCCTGGCGCCCCCGGTGTCCCCACTGAGTGTCCCGAGGCACCCCGCTGCCCGTGTGCGCGCCTACCTGCGCCAGCCCCCTCACAAGTCTGCCAGGAGCAGAGCCCCCAGGGTCTGACCGGGCCCTGGGCTGCGGCCGTGCCCGCAGCTGGACAGGATGGACGCTAAGGTGAGGTCAGCAGGCAGCACGGAGGGCACGCCTGCCGCTTCCAGGTCACCTCCTGCCAAGGGCAGCCATCGGCCCTCACTCGGTCTGTTCCCTGCCCCAGAACACAGACAGGCAGGGGGCAGGGAGGGGCTCCCTCGGACTCTGCAGGGGTCCCCGGACAACTCAAGATCAGCGTCCCAGCCCGCCCGCCCCCTTTGGACGGTGGGATCCATCTCCGGCGACAGGGTCGGCCTCCACCTTGGTCTCAGGCCTACTTCCTGGTTCTTTCCCAACACCTGCCGAGCCATCTGGCACAGGAGCCCTGTGCCTGGGGTGGGGGTGGGGGGAGAATGGCACATGCCCAGACGGCCTCGCCTTTCCAACCTCCTGCCTCTAGGAGGCGCCGTGCGGGGTGAAAGGCGGCGGGTCACACTGAAGCCCCAGGATGTTTAGCTCCCAGAGTGTGTCTGAGCACACACAGCCGGGCCTCTGCTGCTGCTCCGACGCCATGCCATCCCAGCTGCTCACGCTGACCCGGCTGCTCGAGGTGCAGGCGGAGGGGCCATGCCGACGAGAAGGGCTACGGCCCCCACGCCGCCCACAGGACCGAGCTGAACTGGACTGTTTACTCGAGCAGCAGGAGGCGAGCTCTGAGCCTGGGAAACTACTTCAAAGCAGCCACTGTTTTCCCAGCTGTGGCGCCGGCGCCTGGGAAAGCTGGTCATTCCACCACAAAAATAATCCAGAGCGGAGCAAGCAGCTGCCTCAGCTCCCACTCTGCATCTCGGACCCTGAACCGGAGCTCTGGGGCCCACTGTCAGAGGAGGCGGGGACCTCAGCTCCTGAGCTGAGTGCACATCACTGTGGAGCTCCCCCCCCCAATGCGTGTGATATCACTCCTGCACCAGGAACTCCCACCCGGGCTCCACGGAGCAGGGGCCATGGGGAGCACAGGCCCTCGTCCCCAGCAGCTGGGCAGAAAGGCCATCGGCACCCCCACACGACCAACGATCTCAGGATGCCAGCGACATGGCCTCTCCTACAGCCCAGAAAACAGACTCGCTCAGGGCCAGGCCCCTCCTCCCCAGCTCTGCCATAGCCCTGGAGGAGCACCTCAGGCAGTGGGTCCCCCTGCCCCCGGGGCCGTCGAGGACAAGGGAGTGACAGCCCGGGCCTCTGGGAGCCCTGCAGGCGGACGGGCCACTTAGAACCAGTTCCATCTCAAAAAAGGCAAAAGGACTGAAACCAGTGAGTCTTGTCACCTCAGGATCACGTGAGCGCGGAGCCCTCCGTGCGTAGACACGCACCCGCCCTGGGGCTCCCTCGTGAACCCGCTGTGGCTTCACCTGGCACGTTCTCCACTGCCCAGGAGACCTGCTGCAAAGCAAGCTGAGCTCGGTGTGAGGCACAACACACCGGCACCGAGCCTGCGGAAGGCGGCTCACCAGGGTGGAGCAGGAGGGATGTCAGAGGCGACAAAGGCCTTGCTTTCCTGAACTCCCCGTCATCACCAGGGCAGGCCGTCCGCCAGGAAGCTGGGCCTCCAGAGCAGGTGCACTGCAGAACCCTGCCCACTGCGAGGCTGTTCCACCTGTGTGGTGTCCCCAAGCCTGCCCGCACACCCCTGCCCGCACATGCACACCACACACACACACACACACATAGACGCCCGCCTGTGCACACACTGAGTCATCATGAAGGAGGCGTTTATATTGTACCTTTCATTTCCAAAACTGTTATCAGCTGTCAGAGTGCACATGCACTTGTGGACACCCCGCATTCATCCTGTTAGAGCGAGTACACGACTGGGGACACCCCGCATTCATCCTGTTAGAGCGAGTACACGACTGGGGACACCCCGCATTCATCCTGTTAGAGCGAGTACACGACTGGGGACAACCCGCATTCATCCTGTTAGAGTACACGACTGGGGACACCCCGCATTCATCCTGTTAGAGTGTGTACACAACTGGGGACACCCTGCATTATCCCGTTTGCGCTGCTTCAGCACATGGCCATTGGTCCCAGTGTTTTCCTGCAAAGGCCGCCTCTCTGGCTTCTCGGTTCGCTCCTGTCTCCTTCAGGTGTGAGCTGGGCCTTCCGCCTCCCAGCTTCTCGGGTTTTTCGCTTCCACGCCCACTGTGCACGTCTCGGGGCATCTGTCCGGTCCTCCTGCTTTCCCGCTTCTGACGCTTTCAGTCATCTAACCCCTCTCACCTGTCCAGGTCACGCTCCTGGTCCTGGTTTTACTTTACCATTTCCCTGGATTCCCTTCAACTCTGCGGCTCCTCTCATGCTGGAAATGCAGGAGAACCAGCACACTTCCCACATCGTACAAACGGAGTCTCAGCCCGTCCGACCTCTCACCCATTCGCTTGCTGCTCGCAGGGTTTCCTCCTGCCACTATGGTCACTCTTTAGGATGCTCTGGGGAGTCCCTGGTGGGAGGGGGGGTCTCAGCTGGAGAGCCCATGAATTCACTGGTCCAAACTGGTGTGGCTCTGGGCCTGGTTCCGTCCGATACAGCTGTGGGTCTGGGGTTCTGTGTGGGAGACTCTTTCACACACACCTGCTCCCAGAGTCCTGCTACGTCTGCCCATTGGAAGCCTGGGAGCAGTGGAGGGCTGTTTGTTTAGGGCAATGACTCTCAATCTTCCTAATGCCTCGACCCTTTACACAGCTCCTCATGTGGTGGTGACCCCTAACCATAAAACTATTTCCATTGCTACTTCATAACTGTAATTTAGCTACTGTTACGAATCGTACTGTAAATAATCTGTGTTTTCGGATAGTCTTAGGTGACCCTGCTGGCGGTTCTCAACCTGTGGGCCGCCAAATTACAGTTATGAAGCAGCAACGGAAATAATCTCATGGTTGGGGTCACCACATGAGGAACTGTGTAAAGGGTCGAGGCATTAGGAAGGTTGAGAACCACTGGGTTAGGGCACGAGCCTTAAACAACAATAA